CGTAGGGTATTAGGGACCATGGTAAACATTTCGGCATTTTTTTTCCCGGGCGAAAAAAAGTCAAAAATTCTAAAATTGAATCCACGCTTTTTGAGAAATTTTGGTGGTTTCGGCGCCAGGTGTCAAAAAGGATTGAGATTGTAGGAGATACATCTCGGTATCATAAATGTCGTTTGGAACCATACATGATCATTATATGTTCCCATAGATGTTCGTGGTAGGCTTGAATTAATGAAATCGGTTAAGTTGAAAATCGTTAAATTGGCCGTTTAAAGGTAAATTGGATGGTTCCACCAACCCAATTGGACTTCCAGAGGGTGTTAGGGACCATGGTAAAAATTTCGGCAATTTTTATTTCCGGGCTAAAAAAAAGTAAAAAAATTCCAAAATTAAAGGCTAATATCTATGCTTTTTGAGAAATTTTTGAGGTTTCAAGACCCGGTGTCGAAAAGTCTTGAGATTATAGGGGATAAATCTCGGAGTCATATAATTTCGTTTGAACCATATGTGATCATTATATGTGGTCATAAATGTTCGTGGTAGACTTGAATTAATGAAATCGGTGCAAGTTATAAATCGGTAAATTGGTTGTTTAAAGGAAATTTGGATGGTTCCACACTTCCTTCCACCCAACCAATTGGACTCCCAGAAGATATTAAGGACCATGACAAACATTTCGGCAATTTTTATTCCGAACAAAAAAAAGTAAAAAAAAATTCCAAAATTGAGGCTAATATCCACTCCTTTTGAGAAATTTTGGATGTTTCGGGACTCGGTTTCGAAAAGCCTTTAGATTTTAGGGGATAAATATCAGGGTCATATAATGCTGTTTAGAACCATAGATGATCATTATATTTTGTCATAAATGTTTGTGATAGGCTTGAGTTAATGAAATCGGTGTAAGTTGTAAACCGGTAAATTGGTAGTTAAATGCAAATTGGATGGTTTCACCCACCAAATTGGACTTCCGGAGGGTTTTAGAAACCATGGTAAACATTTTGGCAACTTTTATTTACGGGCGAAAAAAAGTCCAAAAATTCTAAAATTGAAGGCTATATCCACGCTTTTTGAGAATTTTTGGAGTCTTCGAGGCCTGTCGTCGAAAAGTCTTGAAATTTTAGTGAATACATCTCGGGGTCATATAATGTCTTTTGGAACCATATATGATCATTCTTTGTCGTCATAAATGTATGTGGTAACCTTGAATTTATGAAATCGGTGTAACTTGTAAACCGGTAAATTGGTCGTTTAAAGGCAAATTGGATGGTTCCACCCACCCAATTTCACTCCGATAGGGTATTTTGTACCGTGGTAAACATTTTGACAATTTTTATTTACGGCCGAAAAAAAGTTAAAAAAAAAATCAAAAATTGAAAGCGAATATCCACATTTTTTGAGTAATTTGGAGTCTTCGTAGGCTCGGTGTCTAAAAGTCTTGAAAGTTTAGGGAATACATATCGGGGTAATATATTATCGTTTGGAACCATATATGATCATTATCTGTTGTCATAAACAATGTTTGTGGTAGGCTTGAGTTAATGAAATCCGTGCAATTTGTAAACCGGTAAATTGGTCGTTTAAAGGCAAAATTTGATGGTTCCACATATCCAATTAGACTCCCGAAGGGTATTAGGGACCATGCATGGTAAACATTTCGGCTATTTTTATTTCCGTGCGGAAAAAAGTCAAAAAATTCCAAAATTAAAGGCTAATTTCCATACTTTTTTTTTGAAATTTCGAAGGTTTCGGGGCCCGGTGTCGAAAAGAAATGAGATTTTAGGGGATATATCTCGAGGTCATATAACGCCGTTTGGAACCGTAAATGATCATTATATGTTGTCATAAATGTTCGTGGTAGGGTTGAGTTAATTAAATCGGTGCAAGTTATAAATCGGTAAATTGGTCGTTTAAAGGAAAATTGGATGGTTCCACCCACCCAATTGGACTCTCGGAGGGTATCAGGGACCATGGTAAACATTTCGGAAATTTTTATTTCCGGGCCAAAAAAAGTCGAAAAATTTCAAAATTGAAGGCTAATATCCACGCTTTTTGAGAATTTTTGGTGGTTTAGGGGTCAGGTGTTGAAAAGGCTTGAGATTTTAGGAGATACATATCGGGGTCATATAATGCCGTTTGGAACCATATATGATCATTGTATGTTTCCATAAATATTCGTGGTAGGCTTGAATTAATGAAATCGGCACAAGTTGTAAATTGGTAAATTGGCCGTTTAAAGGCAAATTGGATGGTTCCACCCACCTAATTGGACTCCCAGAGGGTATTAGGGACCATGGTAAAAATTTCATCAATTTTTATCTCTGGGCCAAAAAAATTAAAAAAATTCCAAAATTGTAAGTTTAATATCCACGCTTTTTGAGAAATTTTGGAGGTTTCGGGACCCGGTGTCGAAAAGGCTTGAGATCTTAGGGGATGCATCTCGGAGTCATATAATGCCGTTTGGAACCATATATGATCATTATGTTGTCGTAAATGTTCGTGGTAGGCTTAAATTAATGAAATCGGTGCATTGTTGAGACGGTATTTTGTAAATACTTAATTATCTCGGTAAATTGGCCGTTTAAAGGCAAATTGTATGATTCCACCCAACCAATAGGACTCCAAGAGGATATTAGGGACCATGGTAAACATTTCGGCAATTTTTATTCCGTGCAAAATAAATTCAAAAAATTCCAAAATTGAAGGCTAATATCCACGTTTTTTGAGAAATTTTGGATGTTTCGGGGCCCGGTGTTGAAAAGCGTTTAAATTTTAGGGGAAAAATATCGAGGGTCATATAATGCCGTTTGAAACCATATATGATCATTATATGTTGTCATAAATGTTTGTGGTAGGCTTGAGTTTTATGAAATCGGCGTAAGTTGTAAACCGGTAAATTGGCCATTTCAAGGCAAATTGGATGGTTCCACCCACCCAATTGGACTCCCGGAAGGTATAAGAGGCCATGGTAAAAATTTCGGCAATGTTTACTTTCGGGCGAAAAAAAGTCCAAAAATTCTAAAATTGAAGGCTATATATCCATGCTTTTTGAGATTTTTTTGAGTCTTTGGGGCCCGATGTCAAAAAGTCTTGAAATTCTACGGAATGCATGTCGGGGTCATATAATGTCTTTTGGAACCATATATGATTGTTATTTGTTGTCCTAAATGTTCGTGGTAGACTTAAATTAATGAAATCGGTGTAAGTTGTAAACCGGTAAATTGGTCGTTTAAAAGCAAGTTGGATTGTTTCACCCACCGAATTGGACTCCTGGGGGGTTTTAGGAACCATGGTAAACATTTCGACAATTTTTATTTCTGTGCGAAAAAAAGTCAAAAAAATTCCAAAATTAAAGGCTAATATTCATGCTTTTTTAGAAATTTCGAAGGTTTCGGGATCCGGTGTCGAAAAGAAATGAGATTTTAGGGGATACATCTCGGGGTCATATAATGCCGTTTGGAACCATAAATGATCATTATATGTTGTCATAAATGCTCGTGGTAGGCTTGAGTTAATGAAATTGGCGCAAGTTGTAAACCGGTAAATTGGCCGTTGAAAGACAAATTTATGGTTCCACCCATCCAATTGGACTCTTAGAGGGTATTAGGGACCATGGTAAACATTTCGGCAATTTTTATTTTCGGGCCAAAAAAGTCAAAAAATTACAAAAATGAAGGATAATATTCACGCTTTTTGATTTGAGGTTTCGAGGCCTGGTGTAGGAAAGACTTGAAATTTTAGGAGATACATTTCGGGGTCATATAATGCCGTTTGGAACCATATATGATCATTATATATTGTCATAAATGTTCGTGGTAGGCTTGAATTAATGAAATCGGTACAAGTTGTAAACTGATAAATTGGTCGTTTAAAGGCAAATTGGATGGTTCCACCCACCCAATTGGACTCTCGGAGGGTATTAGGGACCATGGTAAAAATTTCGGCAATTTTTATTTTTGGGCGAAAAAAGTCCAAAAATTCCAAAATTGAAGGTTACGTTTTTTGAGAAATTTTGGAGGTTTCGGAATAACAACCAGCCTAATCTCCTTTATAATGATTCACCCTAGAAACACAAAATTTTCAATATTTCCCCAATTAAAGAGGGTGAAAGTATATGTGATATTAATTAAAAAATATGTTTCTTTCTTCCCTTTTTTCAAAAAAAATAAAATAAAATTAAGAAATATGTAATGTTTCTAAATTGATGTTTAATTCACTTGTTTTGGCTTCTTAATTGAGTGATTCACCATTTCGTGTTTAGACTTCGGAACAAAAAACAAAAGTGAACCCCACTCGCCGGATTTTGTTGCCGTAAAATCAAAATGGGTTGTGCTAGTCAAATTTTTAAAGTTAATGAGCAGTTTTTTTGATAAAAATTTTAAGCGAGTAGTTGTTGACAAAATAACTTATTAGGCAGGTAGTTTATGACAATTTTTCCTAAAACCAATTTATATATTGAGATGAATCTAAAATAATTTTTTATGATTATAATATATTTTTTTTCTATAAATACTGGTATGAATTATTTGGGCCAAAACAGATTCATATGGCAACGAACACAAAACTGTGTTACAAGTGTGCTTCCATGATAGTGATCTCCTCAAACCTCAACCATTGACTGTCTAGTGCAACTCGTAGACACCAGGCCAATAGCTCATTTATTTGATGGGCTATACACTATGGGCTCAGACCCAAAACTTAAGCTCATCATACAGGCCTAAGTTTTATCGGATTTTTCATATTGGGCCAGGACTCGATATAGAATCCGGATGGCCCGTGGATATGAACTGGCCCAACATTCACTCTTAAAGCTAAGTGTTCAAAATTCACAAATTAAATTGCACGATTATTTCTATAATGATTACTCCCTATCTTCAAATTATAAGAGTACTCAGAATTGTACCCTAATAAGTAATAATTTCAACACCCAAAACTGATATCCGAATTCAGATTAGCTTAAAGGGTGAAACGAATGAAACACCGAAAAAGTAATCTCACAAAAACTTGAACATATGGCATGTTTTTTCTCATAAACATTAACAATCTTTTGAACAAAGTCTGTATAACATGTCGTCATCACTAATTCACCAATGAAGAAAATTATTTAATTAGCAATAACCTTGTTAAGACAAATATGATTTATACTGGATTTAAAGTTGCACATCGATCTTTAGGTAATTTATACAATACTCACCAACATATTTTATTTCATTTTTATAAGGGAGATTGTTAAAACGTCACATTTGCTTACTTTACTAAAGGGAGCCGCCTTACTTGAGTTTGACCAACTTTTCCTTCCCATTGTATCTGTCCTTCCCCATTGTCAACTAACTACCACATGAATTACATGATTCAAACATAAAATAAATCATACATCAATATGTAACCTAACCCTTGTAATTAATGTTCTAAGCATGAAAGACTGTAACATTATACCCAACAATAGCATTATGAAGTGTATTATTATGAAAATAAGTTCGAGCAATAGCATATCCACGAGCCATCCTAAAAACCCCCGTCCCACCAACGACGGGGAGCTCCCTCACCGGATTCGCAATCGGGTTAGAGCCGAAAATGACTAGGGAACTCCCATTATAGATGCCATCAACAAATCCATACGTCAACCCGGTGACAAAATTTACGACTTGTTGTGATGCCGAACCATAGAAACCTTGTGCACGTCCTACCAACTTGGAGTTACGGTCTGGGGTTAGAGTGAGCGGATCATCTACCATATATAGGTTGCCGAAGCCCGAGGTAAAGTTGTTGCTGCCTTGTATGGGTTGCGCTATCAAGGAGGCGGTTGTGGGCTCAACGCTAACCGCGGTTCTGATGTCGTGGAAGTAGAATTGTAGGACCGTTTTGCGCTCGTACCCACGGCCGTATGACTTTGTTTCTGCCCATGTTGATGTTGTGGGATTTTGAGTCGTTGTAGCATAACTCAAATTTACCATACAAGATGTGAATACTAAAAATGTGAAAAAATAGATTGTTACCTTTGTCATGTTTCTCTAATTTGATATTAGATCGCTAATCCAGGTATATATACACGGATTTAGTTTGATATAAAGGATGAAATTAAAGGAGAAGGAGAACTTTATATAAAGGATTGGACTATTGATGTATACATAGTTGACTTTTATTAGAAGGGAAAAATTAATAAAAATATAATATCATTATTAGTCATGGTCATAGTTTAATTAGAACATTTTAACTTTTGAGAACCTTCTACAGCTATTCTTTCAAAAAAGTTAGATTGAAAGGTAAGGGAAATAAAGGCTATGGAGGGAAAGCCGGAAAGCATATGTTAACATGGTGCTATTCAAACGTAAGCCACAATGTGTCAATGTCACATGCATTATGAAGTGTATGGTCAATGTCTTGGGTGTAGCGATACTTAGATTATCCCCTGATAAAATATAAAATATGAGGAAAATTTGTCAGAAAAACCTATTAAGAAAATTCTTACGAAGTATAAAAATTTCTTGGCAATTTGAAACCTGATTGTAATTTTTTTTTTTTTTTAAGACAACCAAAGGTCATTTTTTGGCATTGACTTCTTTCTTTCCGGCATTGAAAAAAAATCCGTCTCTAAATTTAACAACGGAAAATAAATCCGTTGCTAGATTCAGCAACGGAAAAAAAATCTGCTGCTAATTTAGCAACGGAAAAAAATCCGTTTCTAATTTAGAGACGGATTTTCAATTCCGTTGCTAATTTAGCGACGGAATTTTTAATTTCGTCTCTAATTTAGAAACGGATTTTAAAATTCCGTCTCTAAATTAATTTAGAGACGGATTTTTTGATTCCGTCTCTAATTTAGAAACGGAAAAAATTTCGTCGCTAGAATTCCGTTCTATATGGACAATTTTTTTGTAGTGGGTGTTGGAGGAATTCTGATTTTCCTTTGTCTGCTAAGTTGTTCTCTTATTCTTGTAATTGAATTTTATTAATTTACTGAGTATTTGTTTGATTGAGGTTATTTGATTCATTCTTAGGTTTTTAATTGGTGATGTTTATGATTATATTATGCTTATATGCGTGCTTTTCTTGGTATTTGAGTGTTTGAGCTTTTTGAGAATGAGGAAATACCAATGAGAGAATGAGAAAATCCGGGTGCCTGATGTCCCGACTCGAATAATTCGGGTACCCGAAACCCGGGTACCCGAGATGGGTCGCGACATGGGACGCATCACCAACTACCCAAAACTCCGGGTACCTGTATTTTCGGGCACCCGAAACTCCGGGTACCCGGATTTGAACACCCCTAGCAGTGGTGGTGGTCTGATGTGGTTGGTGGTGGTGGTGATGTGGATTGGTTAGGGTTTTGAAGTGGGTTTGGTTGGGGTTGACAGGGGTTTTTTTGGGTAGTTGGAGGTGGTGATACACTGTGCCGGTGGTGGCACGGCGTATTTTTTTAATTTTTCCGAAAATATTTTTCGACGGAATTCCCGTCGGAAATTTCCAACGGAATTTTTGGAAATTTTCGACGGAATTCGCTGGTGCCGGAAATTAACTGTTTTATAAATTTTTTGACGGCTTTTAGCCGTCGCCTTCATATGCAATATGAAATATATAAGGATGGCAACGGGTTGCACTTAGATCGGATTATGCTAAATTCAACTCCGATCCGACTTTAATATTCGGCATCCGACACCAACTTTAATCTGATTCGACTCCAAGTTTTTTTTTCGGTTATTCAATATACTTTGTGTAATTGGATTATTTGAACCTTTAATTTGCAACCCACACTACAATACTACATACAATGATCATTAAAATAGAAAGACTAATTGACTTCACAATTAGAGTATATAATTACACATTATCCAAACAAAATTAAAAGAAAATTAAAAAATTATACTAGTATATAAGATGAAGTTGGAGCCAAATTATGGGTTATATTATCTCGGAGTCGGAGTTGGAGTCGGATTTTTTTCTCGAGTTTTTTGTAGGATTCGACTACAACTCTCCTCCGACTCGGAGTTGGATTATTTTCTCGGTCAAATTTATACTCTTGATACCTTTATATGCTTGTTTACTACATATTTTCCTTTGGTTTAGGTTGTGTCAGCTCTTGTTTGGTTAACCCTTAGCGCATAGCTGCTATTGTTTAGCAAACTTATAGGATGGAAAATTGTACTACTACATGCATAATATGTGACAGGTGGTAAATATTTTGAGGTGGAATATTCTACTTACAAGATGGTAAAAAGTACCACTACATGTAAAATAGTACGCAAAAAATACTATTAAGACAACTTATACTTTAATGGTACGTTATACATGCATAATGTTACATTTAATGTACCACTGTAGAGTTAGTTTTTTTTCAAAAGCTTGTCAAATTTAATTTTTACCCTCCTATATGTTTTGTAAATGTATAGCCGCTATGCGATGAGATGCGCTCATTTTCCTTCACTACTCTTACTTATTCCTTTTGGTCTTCTAATTCCTTTTTGGGATTGCTTTAGTGTTTATGAGTTTTATGTTTTCATAGGTTCCTCAAGCTTTTACTTAATACTTCCTCCATTTTTAAATATACTCCACTTTTCATTTTTAACTGTTTTTAAGTACTTGTTTTTACAATATTTAATTCATTTCTCTCAACTAGTGGACCCAACACAAATCATATTTGATTAATTTCATATTCTCTTTCCTCCAATTCTCTCAACTTCTTTTGCTTTTTATAATTTTTTTACTCTTCCACGTACCACACTACTTCCATTATTTATTACTTTCTCTAATTACTCCTAAAGCTCCACGCATGGAGAAATGAAGCAAGTATTTAAAAACAGAGGTAGTAGTAACTGTTGAGCTGGTGTGTTTGGTGGAGTTCCCTATTTACTTTGGTTGTTGGTTGTTCTTGTTTAGGTATTTCTGCTCTTAGGGCCTGTTCTCATATGATTATTTTCAGTTCAGCTCTAATAACTTCAGTTCCCAATTTCCTTCTCTTATAAAATATTCATTTCAGTTCACTTCAGTTTAGCTCTAATAAGTTCAGTTCAGTCAATGAGATCATGCCCTTAGTTTGTTTTTGGTCTTATTATGGAGTTCTTTCCTACCTTTCCAAGTGATTTTCATGATCAAAGTACTTTCTACCTTCTTTCCTTTATGGATAATCCCGGTAACGTTGCTCATTCCATAGAGTTCAAGGAGCATGAAGAACCATGAGGCTAACAGGTTTTGGTAATGTTGTTCATTCCATAGAGTTCAAGGAGCAAGCATGAAGACTCGTAAGGCTAAGAAGTTGTTTTTTTTTTTATTTTTTATTTTTTTTTAATATATATATATATATATATATATATATATATATATATATATATATATATATATATATATAAGTGTGAGCTGGCTAGTAAATTGTTGTGTGTTTACCATGTCGTATTCTTTGGAAGCTTTTTCTTTCTTTCACGCATTGGCATTTAGGGTCTGTTCTCTTACGTTGAAATTCAGTTCAGTTTAGTTCAGTTCAGCTCAATTCAGTTCAGTTCAACTCCTAATTTCCTTCTCTTAAACTATTCATTTCAGTTCAGCTCACCTGAGTTCAGTCAATGAGAACATACCCTTACTTTGCATCTTAATCTTGCGGCTTGTGCTCTGAACCTTCTTGATTATTCTGATAACGTTGTTAAGATTTGTTCTTTTATGTTACGACTCTTTATAGGAGGCCTTCTGCATTTCAATAAATGGGCAAGCTACGTTCTGCTAGATAGAAAGGATTTGGTTAAGCCTATTAAAGGTGATCATAATAATATAGAGGTGTTAAAAAATTGCATTGTGTTGAGGGTTTGTTACATGATGTGTCTTTGGTTGATAAAAAAACAGAAGGGTAAGATGGTCTAGTTTGTAACCCAAGTTATTATTTGACTTGCCAAGTTCCCAATGCTTGTGTAACTGGTTGTCAGGTCAAAAAAGGGTTGCTGTGGTGTAAAAGTGGTTGCTTCGACAGTTGATTTCATTGTAGTGTGTTAAGCTCAGTTGTTGTTTCGGAACTGGTATCGTTTGGTGGTGAAAAAGATGTAATTTCCAACCACCAATTTCAAAGAGTGTTGATATCAAATGTAATTTCCAATCGGATTCGAATAATAATGACAGGGATTCTAAGTCTTTACCACCTTTTCGTCAGGGAGCTGAAGTTCCTTGTATTCACAAGTCTCAAAATGGTTCGAGTTCATCGCTTCTGACTTTCTTTCTCAAATTTGTAGCAAGTTAAGCAAGGTGATATCATTTATTTCTACCATTCTAAGTCTATGTCGTCAATGTTAATTTGAGTTCATCTGAGTAAACTTATGTAGGTTACAGAACAATGTTGATGATTATTGTTAAGCGAATATAACTTATATTAATTATAAACTAACTTAGTAGATTAACTTGTAAGAAATATGTATCAAAAGCGTTTTTACCAAATAATTTATACAAAATTGGGAGGCACACGCACCCACGGCTAGTTAAAATTTATATTTAAGAGACAAAACAAAATTACAGTACAAACACTAAATAACCTAGAGCAACATCTGGGTCATAGACTAGTTTGCTTTAAAGCATCATTACAGGCCACAACACATTTCTGAACTAGTAGTCATCCATCATGAAACAGCAGTTGGGTATTAGCATGCATCGTTTGTCTAAGCTGCAACACACAATTCTTAGCATGTTTAGCAGCATCTGTTTTTCAATACAATGCATTATCAACTATTAGATCTTCTCCATGCCTTAAAGCACTATGAGCAATAATATCGATCTTCTGAAGAGAAACAGTGTTTTCAGAAAGATAGGAAAGAAACTCCATGGTGTTTTCATCACCCCGAAAACCAAACAATTTGACCTCCTTTAGGTTCTGGTGCGGAGACATAGAAGCCAATTCTAGTGCCGGGTATTCCTGCCATTTAGGAATGCATGGTGGGAGCTACAAGCAACAGAGAGGACATCAATCAGCATTACCCATTTAATCAATTATAATAAGGCAGTAATAAGCCAGTGGACAAAAAAAAAAATAAAAATAAAAAATTCAAGAGAAACTCAAGTCTGTAAGACCTTTGGAAGTAAACTTAATGAAGACAAACTAGCACATATTACCATGTAGCACCCGCATGTTGACTGTGAAACTCACATAAAGACACTAATGCAGACACATATACGTTCAACATCGAGCTCAATGATTTTTGGGGAACTACTAAACTCTGGTTTTCAAAATACAAGAACAGTAGATAAGTTATAGAGCTTAAACTACTAGGGTAATACAAGCTATATAAGGCCAAATTATGTGGATATCATGATTCCTTATCCAATAGAGCTGATATTACTAAGCTAGATTTAACACGATATAGTACAATATTCCCCAGCTAATGGTATTAACATATAGTACACTATTTTTACACTTTCCAGAACCTCACATGGATAATCAGGTCATTTAAATTCCAATGCTCTTATGAGATGGTAGCCTAACAATCATGTTAGAGGTCTATTATGTCCGACTGATTTAAAGTATTAGACAAGCTTGTTTGCAGATGGATCATGGATGGTCATATATTGAAAAGAGCAATCAGATAGTTCTCTATTTTATTCAAGCTAAATGCTTGATTGAATACCATGACAACATTCAAACGCGGCAAGGGAGTTAATCTGAGATTCTGAGTAGGTTATGTTTTACCTGGAGATCACATTTGCAAGCCTAAAAAGCATTGTGGGTTAGAGACTGCATCTTATGAAATGCAGCGGCTATAGGCAAGTATTTGGTAAATATGCCAAAAGGAGATGTCCTTTAGGTGAATTGGGTCCACAGTGTATATCAAAGATTAAAGCTGGTGGGAATGTAGATTGTAGACCACTATGGATGCAAGCTCGAGTTGGAAGGCTGGATTTGAGCAAAAGGGGTGGAAACTGGTAGAAAAAGGTATGCCATTGCCAATGGTTGTTCTTGGTTACAGGGTAATCAAAACAAACTGAACTGGCGACTGGAGCAGATCTAACATTCCTAAAAATAGTGTAGAAGTCAAATCTGAGCAGAATCAGATTGTCAGATGTGTAGTCGAGACAGGAAATCAGTTCAGCATATGGTCTTGTTAACTACTCCGTACTTCATCAGTGCTGGTGAAGATGATTATATTAGAAATTTGCATAAGGATTAATGTAGTAAAGCCTAGCAAGTGGAAAACTCTGACTGTATTTGGTAAGAACAAGACCATATGTTTTAGTAGCTTAGGGTGCCTACCCTTTGTTGCTTTGTTTATCTGTGGTTGTGTAATAAACTGAAATTACTCGATGTAATAACAGTACAACGAAAGAGAAAATTCAGAAATTTGATTAAACAAATTAATGGTTTTACAACGATAGTAGTAGGTTTAGCCTACAAAGCTCCAATAGTGACTTTAGGTCACAACTCTCCTAAGAAACCACTCCAAATTTCTGCCTGCCTATTTCCTTCTCTTCCCTCTCTATTTATACTAAGGAACCCTAATATACTAATAAAACTAGAATACCTATACTACCCCTCCAATACCTATACTACCCCTCCAAGTTAGTCTATTACAGGTTGTAAGCTATGCTTCCCCAAGTTCCCCCCAACCCCCCAAGTACAAAAAAGCATAGAAGTGTAAACAAATGATGTTGACCACCTATCCCATCTCTCTTATGATTTCATTACTCCACCCTAGGAAACATAGTCACTTAGATTCATACCCATGTCCAAGTAGCATAGGCTCTAGCCTTTAGTAAACAAATTACTGTCCCTTTTTTTTTAAAAAAATATGGTTAAGAAAATATTTCATGCAAGTGCTGGCCAGGAAATGGGAGTTCAGAAGTACTTACAACTATCTCAAGTTGCTCCAATAAAGGGGCTCCCCTGATTATGGAAGCAACCACTCTGTAGCACAGGCAGGTCGACCAAGTAAATTTAACATCAACCACCAGCTGTTTTAGATTACTAAAAACACAGAGTTGCGTAAGATCGCTTATGTCCTGCACAAGGCACAATACCAATGCATCAGTAAGTGGCCAAAACCAGAAAAAATAAATAAATTAATTGGCAACTCAATATGCTTCGCTTCAGTGCTAACCTCGAAGAGATGAGCTGAAACAACCAAAGATTTAAGGTTTGAAAAATGAGAGGAGAAGTGACTGAAAACGAAGTTTTTCGCTCCTAGCAAGATATAGTCTGGAGAAGATAGCCTCAAAGAAGCAAGTTGCTTAGCATCCTTAATAGAGAGAGTTGTTTGTTTTCCGTCATACTTGAACGATATAAGATTTGGGGCAAAAACTTGCAAATATTCTAGGTCATGACAGCGGTACAACTCGAGTAATTTCAGCTTTAAGTGAGGAGCTGTATTTTTTGCATTCACTAGCCCATAACTAAACTCCCAAAAGAAATCTTTCAAGAGAAAAACAGCTAGATAAAATCAAGTTAAAAACATCGTCTGTGAGGTTTACAGATCTTAGGCAGAGATCTGTTAGAGACTCAAAGTGTTTCCTAACATGGGAGAGGCAGTATGCAATGAACCAAAAACATGAGCAGGAAAATAATAATTTTTGGAATTACCAGGAGTAAAACCTAAGTTTAAATTTTGAGCATTATATTGTCGTAAAATATCATCAATGCATCGCACGTATGTTTGTTGGTCCATTTTTTATGGTTCCAAACATCCAAAGTTGAGATAAGGGCAGGAAGCCCATAAGTTTTTCCATCTCTTAGAAAGGATGCCAGTAGCTATTGCTTCCTTGAGTGTCAACCGTGTCAAAATATGACAGAGGATCTCATCTGGCATATCACTAATCCGGTCCTCCGTTCCAATTCTTTTACATCTCTGATTAATCAATTCTATTCTATTCCCACTGAGCTGATTAATTTTGAATAAAATACTTAACCTAACCTCACTTTCAACTAAACATAAAATTTAATTACAGAAACAATTCAAGCAAAGAACAAGTTATCAGTCAATTCAGAATACAAAAAATCATATCTTTATACTGGTAAATCTTCACAGCTAAAAATTCCACAAATATTATAAAATTCTACATCTTCGCATAATAAAATAACATAATATTAAGCAACAATATTCACTAAATCAAACAATAAAAAACAAAGACCCAGAAGAAATATAACAAAAAGTACACAAAATCTTAACTTTAAATTTCTATTAAGTATTTCAGCTACATATCCCGAAATTTACATCTCTGGTAATTCATAATACATTCAAATCCCAAGATATCATCCCAATTGTATGTCAAATCAAGAGGAGATCATAGAATCAAAAATTACAGAAAATTGTATGTGTATTGGGAATTTGAGCTAGACATCAACATCAGGTTTGTATATCATTTGGGGTTTCAAGAAATCAAAATTAAGACTATACGAAGTATATATCTCCAAAATAACTTAAGCTCTCAAATCTGAAAATTATTTCAACACTCAAATTAAAAAAAAAAAAAATGATATTTTGTTCAATATTTATTTTAATTGATATTTTGTAAACCCGCCCATCATCAACCCGCTATTGACCCTATAAAATGTGACCCTCTTTAACCCAACCTGCACCGACCCTGACTCGACCCGCCCAATAGCCAGGGTTACGTGCAATTATTTAACAGCCCACCTCGTCTAAAACTAAACTATTTTATAACCCTAGATTAATACTTTGTTTGGCAGTAGTTTTTGAGGTCGAAAAAAAAATTGAGTGTTTGGCAAAGTAGCAGTTCGAGTAACTGTTTAGTGGTAGAGTGAGGTAAGTCTTCTCAAACGTTAAAAAAATAGTAGGGTTTAAAAGTAACACGTAACGTTTGTCAAATTTAGTTACTTTTTATGTATATGAATTTTGACCTTTTTTTTTTTGTGTTTAGAGAGCCACAAGGGCGGGGAATGAGAATCGATCCCAAGATCTCTTGGAATCGGGAGGGGAGCTCTAACCACTTGAGATATCATTCACTCTCAATTTTGCATATTTTAGTAGTGCAACTGCCTTTTTTATCAAACACTCATACAATCAACAATTACTTTGACAGCTAGCCACAACTAGTTGACAGCTACTCACTACCCTAACAATTATCCGCTAAGCGATCGCTAAAAATTGCCCACTATTTCTAATTTTACCAAACAAGACCTAAAATAAAGGGTTTTTTGTTCGGATCCACATGGTACCACTTTAGTTTTAATTTATTTTCTAATGTATCATTCCATTTAGAATTTGTTACTACGTATATACACCCGATTGTAGTGTACACCCGGGGTTATGTGCTCATTTAATCAATCAATGTGTAAAAATTATTTGCTCATTTGTTGATTAAATGAGCAAATGACCCCGGGTGTATATAATAGGCTCTCCATTTTTAAATTGTTTTTGTATTTTTCGATTTGACTGTCATAAAAATTATTCGGAATCTTTAAAGGTCGAAATTAGCAAAAAATGACTGAATAATGTCTTAGTTTAGGTTAAACAAAAATCTCTCAATTTGCATATTTTCATTTGTTTTGCGAAAAAAAAAAATACTACCTCCGTTATAGGTTATGTGCAACGATTTGACATAAATGTAGAGAGAAAAAATGTCTAATCGTTGCACATAACCTGTAACGGAGGTAGTATATATATTCGGTTAAAGTTTTAGGTGTCATTATACCTAAGGATCAAATTTTGAAGTCCTAAGAAAAGAAAAACCTGTCACAAATGTCCTAACTAATGTTTAATTTTGACGTTTTTTAGTGTAATCAAACTATTGTTTTACTTTGAAGTCTCGAGTTACTTAAGCACGAAATTATTCACGAGGGTCACTACTATAGAAAATCAAAAATTCAATATATAATTTTTGTTCACTTAAGAATGTTACAAACTTACAAAACATGAGGTTGTTATACAAGTACCGAAGTACTCCGTATATATAGACAATTTCCTAAATTAACTACTGTATTGAATACTCTATATTGAATTATTGTAATGCAACACTAACCAAGTAATCAGCTTATTACTTTCTCCGTTTCTATTTAGCTGACGCATTCAATTTAAGCACACATACATACATATTAAGGAGAAAAGAGGAATGAGATATAATGATATGTGGGGTACAATAGTAAATACAAGGTTTACCCATTCAAAAAGGAAATATGTATGTCAACTAAAATAAATTTCTAAAAAAGAAATACGTATCAACTAAAAAAACGGAGATAAATATTAAATAATGATCAAACTAGGAGCTAAGTAACAAACATAATACTGAAATGTTACAACGAACATAAGTATACACAATCAGATCAAACCTTTTTATTTTTAGTCCACGACATGCATAAAAGATTAAAAGATAACCAAAGTCAAAGTTGAAAGTGTACAAAATATATGCATGATGAAATAATTCTTAAAGGTGAAAAATTGTAACATTATATCCAACAATTGCATTCAAAGAAGTAAGGTTAAAGAAGTAGGTTTGAGCCACAGCATAACCACGAGCCATACGAAAAACCCCAGTCCCACCAACAACCGGGAACTCCCTAACCGGATTCATGATTGAGTTCCGGCCAAAAATAACCACAGAGCTCCCATTATAGATACCATCAACAAAGCCATAATTCAACCCCATGATCAAGTTCACACCTTCTTGTGAGGCTGCACCATATAGACCTTGTGCGCGGCCAACAAGCTTGGAGGTCGGGTCAGGGCTTATGGTGAGTGGATCATCGGCCATAAACAAGCTGCCAAAGCCCAAGGCCGAGTTGTTGCCTCCTATAGGTTGCGCGATTAAGGCCACAGTTGGGGAGTCCCCGTTCATTATGTCGTGGAAGTAGAATTGTAGGACAGTCTTACGCTCGTGGCCATAAGGCTCAGTTTTTGCCCATGTCTTAGCAAAACTTGCATTTACAATATAGGATGATAATATCACAAATAATGTGATAATAGCGAGTTCTATTGATTTTGTCATGGTTTTTCCTATTTGAATTGGTTTATTTGTAATTGCAATTATATTATGTGGTTTATCCGTTATATAATGTAAAGCTTTAATTTGGTAGTGGCTTATTATATATTGTGAGTAGCAACTTATGAAAGACAAGTACTTCACAACTTCTCAGGGTTGAATTGCCTTAATTTTTATTATAATCATCAATCATAGGTAAATTATTTAATATGGTTTAATATTTTTTCCTTATCTTCTCTGTCGTCTCTCAACTAGCAACTGATCGATTGAATTTTTATTTCTAGGAGCTAGGACAGATTGTCTCTACGGTTATTTTTGAAAATTAAGTTTGAAAGTTGATTAATATGTGTATGGTGCCTTATCTTGCCTACGGAGTATTAAAGATAATTGGTTTTTTTTTTTTTTTAATAGAATTGAAATAGTTAGTTTTTTTTTTAAGTAATTAAACTTTATAATTAATAATTAAATTTTTTTTACTCCGTAGTTAAAAATTGAGTTAAGGTTACCTTTTTTTCCTTGACCTTATTTTAATCTCTGAAGAATGTGTAATTTTCAACTTATAAAAATAGGTTTCAAGATTTATAAGTTCATATCAGTTCAAATAAGTTTCAATAAGGTCCAATAGATTTGATAAGGTCTAATAAGTTAAATAAGGTCCAATAGATTTGATAAGGTCTAATAAGTTAAAAAAAAGTCAACCATTAATTTAATTTAATACTACTTGTAGTTGGTGTACACTCCATTTCTTGCTTTGTGTAGAAAAAGATTATACAACATACAACTCTACAAGTAACATTGTACATGTTGTGCATGTTTTTTTTTAATGAATGTGCAAAAATGAAAAATCCATCTTATTGGTGAACAACAGTAACATTATACCCTACAATAACAATCCCAGAAGTAACATTAAAATAGTATGTTTGGGCTATTGCATATCCACGGGCCATCCTAAAAAGCCCAGTACCACCAACAATCAGCATTTCTCTAACCGGGTTCAAGATCGAGTTCCGGCCCAAAATGTTGATGGAGCTCCCATTATAAATCCCATCAACAAAGCTATAACTTAAGCCCATAAGAGAGTTCACACCTTGTTGGGAGGCTGAGCCAGAGAAGCCCTGGGCCCGGCCTATTGACTTGGACTTTGGGTCTGGACCCACATTGAGTAGCTCGTCGACCATATACAAGTTACCGAAGGCGAACGAGTTGTTCGGGTCAACGGGTTGGGCTTGGGCGATCAATGCAACGGTGGAGGAGTTGCCAATTGCAATTTCATGGAAGTAGAATTGTAGGACAGTTTTGTGCTCATGGTGGCTATATGGTTCTGTTTTGGCCCATGTTGATGTTTCGGGCCAATCAGCCCTACCAAGGCCCAACTTTGCCACATAAGATGTGAATATCAAATATTTCAAAATAACGAATATTAACTTCATGTATTTCTAAATTTGGTTGCTTAAAGTTGTTGATAAATTTTCCCTAAAAAAATGAGTTGTTGATAAATTTGTTTGTTTGGAAAAGAGATAAAAGGGTATGTTTATATAGGGAATGTCTATCTACACAAGAATGGAGAAAGGGTTTCATTAATGCTACTATTTGTAAAAATGATGGATTCCAACTCTTCCAAGCAACAAACACACAAGACACAACTACTTAATTTGACTTAAAAGGTTGGCATTGACTTTTTTTATGAGCAAGGTTAACATTGACTTTTTTTTTAAATAATTAAATACAACCCTATGTAGTTATGTGTTACATAAGGTTATTATGAAGTATAATGATGGGATACTAGGATTGAGCCTTAAGAACAAGTCATTGATGTGTGTTGATGGCTTTGACAGGCAAGAAACATGCATGTCTTATCAACAAGTGATCTAATTTCACCATTTTCTCAATTCATTGACAAATATAAATAGAATGTAATCAACATTACTTATAATCAACCAAAGGGGATGTAGCTCAGATGGTAGAGCGCTCGCTTAGCATGCGAGAGGTACGGGGATCGATACCCCGCATCTCCACAAATACGACTCCATGGCCCAATGGATACGCCCCGGGGCAATCGTTCTTATATTAGCTATTATTGATATTTTGTTTCAAACGAACAACAGGACTCCGTGGCCCAATGGATAAGGCGCTGGTCTACGAAACCAGAGATTCTGGGTTCGATCCCCAGCGGAGTCGTTTTGTATATTTTTCAAGTTATTTTTTTCTCTTTCTGCTAAGAGTATGTTGGCATGAAGAAGTGTACTACCTCCGGAAAACAACTGGTTTAATCGCAGTTGACCATTGAGGAACAAAGATGAGTTTATCAAGTGTTAACTGAAAAGCCGGTGAGATTATAAGGTTTTGCACTTTGTTGAATATGGGATCTCATCAGCTGCAATACTTGCAAACATGCTAAAGATCAGACCAATAGCGCGTGCTTTAGCCAAGTAAAGCAACACCAAAATGAATGTTGACCATTGAGGATATGTACAAGACTAACTGAAAAGGGATAATATTACACATGTGGCAACGGACCTATAATTTCATTCCGATGTACAATAATGGTCTATTACAAATCATTTTTTTCGTTACCCTGAACTTCTACACTTTATGGTAATTTTAAATCACCATCAAATAAGAAGAAAAAGGTTAAAAGCCCTTCAATCATTGGGGCTTAGCAATCCAGACAGCAAATGTGAATCAAATCAGACAGCATGGCCTTTGGTACATAGGATGCTGATAAATTCTCTGTATCATGTGGAAGAATCTACTCACATCTGCATAGAAACACAACTTTTTGGAATCAGAAGCAATATTAGTAATAGTTGTCCAAGCAGTCATTCATATCCCCTCTGTCAATATAAAGCACAACCATATATAATGATTAGTTCGAAGAACTGTTATCTACCGACTTCTTTGTATCCTACGATAAGTTGTGGAACAAGTTGATGTCGTGAAAAACCAAGAGGTAACAAGTTAATATAATAAGTGAATCATCCCATAACATAATAGGTTCAAATGAACCATTTCATCCCATACTCGATCTATATGACCAAAGAAAAATCTAAGTCGTTTAAAAAAAAATCATGTGTATTGACAGTTGGCACTTTTAATCATAGACTATCAGCAGCCTATCGCCCATTCCTGATTGCCGCTGTCTGCCCGCTCCACATAATAATTTTAGGTTCAAGTTACATTGATATTGAGATAAAGCATTAAATGTTGTATTGATTCTACAAAATATGATGCGACGTTATATTGATGATATAATTTTGGGTTGTAATAAGAGTTGGCGTTTTGGAGCTTAATTTTGGGTGTTGTAATAATAAAGCTGAACTTTACTTAAATTTGGATTATATTTTTTTAAGACAAGAAAAGAAATCCAAGCTCATGACCCATGCTGCATTTTGGTATATCTGAGATTCTGAGATGACACGGCAGTACAGCACACATTAAATTGCAGATTTCACAACTTTTAATATGAAAATGCAAGAAAGCAGAAATACCTATTGTGTTTGACCTAGCAGCATAATCACGTTTCAGTTTGAGTGAACCAAATAGGGCACTGCAGAAAATCAGACAGAAAACATTTAGATCTTCAATTCAAAGGTAAAATAAGAATATTACACAGAAAATGAAGCAACAGCATATTTCAAGTTCAGACACACAGGATATTACTGAGGAAAAAAGTGATATGTTTCCATGTCCTTCAGCCAGATATGGAGGTTTATCATACATGCATTACTAACAACATAGGCCACATACCCATGCCATGGGTGATTAGCAACAATTTAACTTCACCAAATGAATTAAATTACTCTTGAAGCCAAAACCCTACCACATGTACTAGAAAACATTCTTGCCCAACAAATTTAATGCTCCCATTCCTCAATGCACATGAAGGTTCAACTTTTGAGTAAATCTTCATATGAAGACAATTTGACAAACATTGTACATAAAACCTTGTTCATACATCAATAAAAGCGGAAGGATAATGAAGGCTCAATGGTAGAATAAATCAACATCATCTACTAGCAAATTTGCATACTTGCATGCTTCGGATAATGAAGCTCAGTCAAAAAGGACCTATTGACATTTCTTGGCTTACAAGTGAAAGGGAGACATTTCTATTCAAAACTAAGTATTCAAATTAGTCAGCACTCAGAAATATAAATATATACGAGTAAGGCACTCAATTCCCTACATATCTTCCTAGCATCAAGCATCCTTCACTCTTCAGAGAAAATGCATTCTCATTCGTTTCGTAAAGTTAAAATGCTTTCCAGCTTTACTCGAGACGATAGTAAAACTTTCCAAAAGATGTATTTTTATTCAACTATAAGGTATAAACCACAAAATCATTATTTATTTTCAATGAAGCCAAAGATTTACTACGAAGTATTTTTTTTTTGGATTACAATGAACTGGACTCAGTGAAATTTCTGTGCTAAATTGTTGAGTTTCTGTAAAAGCAGTCAGTGATGAAAAATTGGATCAAAGGAAGAATCGACTCTTCACTATATATAAGGTTGGGTACAATCAAATCCCTCAATACTGTACAGGAGCTTATTCAGAAACATTTGGGTGATATAATAGTGTGACGTATAAACATACTATATATCTCATTATTCAAGAGAGGAACAAATGCATACAAGAAGGTAGATTATAAAATATACAGGTTTTAATGTCTGCAAACTTTGCAGTGGATTAATTTTTGACTTCTTAAGGAATGTACTTACCCAGCAGGAAAATTGATAGCATCAAAATGAGTATGAGTCGCATGGAAGAGCTCAACTGTAAGCGTCTTGAGCCTTGCATCCTATTATTTAAACCACCGGAGCATGTAAAAAGCTGCAAAAAGTAATTGTTAGTGGTAGTTTGTAGGTATCATGATCAATGAAAAATTAATCAAAATAAACAAGAGAAAAAGGGGTGATCCACAAGGATTTTATAATCTAACATAGTGCAATAACTTCAATCAACAAGAGGAGGGGACAGGGGTAGAGTGGTATCATGTAATTCAATGCTTTCCAGAACTTCAATAGTATTAATAAATCTACAATTTTGGCTTGGAGATTGTAAAAGCTTTTGAATGATCAAACAAAACAGAGCAGAAAGATGAATAAATCAAGGGGGAGGAAAGGCCATCAATTGGGAACTAAAAATTTATAGAATTCCTTTTCCAAGTGCAAGAGTTGATGGGGAAAATGGGTGATTTGTAATGACTGAAATATTTAAATCACAATTCTGCAGGAATTGGGCATTAATTTGTGGAGACAAGTTCAACTAACCTTATTAATGCAACTAATTCCTCTGAATTGAAGTAAATTTGACGTTTTGAAGCCCTTCACCTTTGGTGTGGCCTCGATGGTTGACATAGTACTCATATTATCATCTCCGTTAGGAATCACAATCTTTAAAGAACCAGAATTTGGTGATATATGAGTCCTTTTTGCACTGCGTGTTCTATCAGCGTCACAATTCATATCCCCCCGTGTCCCAAGTGCTTCCCTTGCACTTAGTTCTATGAGAGAAATAGGTTGCTCCATGTTAATCACAATATCATCTTTTAATGCAGGTGAACCTTTTCCCTGCATGTTGGATGCTGCACTGGTACTAGTGCTACAAGCAGCAAAGTCCAAATCTTTTTTCTTACATAAATTCTCTTCTGTTAGACTGTTGGAAGATTTCGCAATTTTATTTCTTGCACTCTTAGTGAACGTTTCAGAACCAGAGAGGAACATAGCCAGGTCATCTCGTTCATCTTCATCCAAATTCACCCATCGAAATGGTTGCTTTCCTTCCTCATTCAACGTATCCCTCAATGTATCTTCAACACGGGTTATCAAGCTTTCAATGGCAACAAGAAATTGCTGGTGCCTTGCCATTCTACTATGATCGCGGCAATTTCCATAACTTAACCTCACAGCCTTCTCAAACTCTTCCAACTAATACCAAAAAACAATTATTACTAAATAACTTAAACGAACATCAAAATCAGACAATACACTACAGTTTGTACATACAGTTAGAACAGCTAAACAGAAATAATATTGGCAAGTACCTGCCATTTCGCAGTGCCAAGAGCTGTTTGAACTTCACGACGAAGCTCATCTAAATCATTCGAAGATAACCCATCTTTCTTCTGTCTAATCCATAATCGATAAGCTGATTCCAAGCTGAAGGAAACACCATTGAATTAATTACAAAACACCCCTTATAAAATTTTAATTGTTACCTAAGATTCTGGACTCAAAGATTCATTTCCAACCATAGATACATTTCAATTTCACTCTTTACCTCAATAAAGATGCTCATAATTTCATCCTAAAACTAACATAGTTTGAAAATAATGTATATAAAACAATAGAATAATCCAAAAACACTAAATAAAGAATACAGGAAAACATCTACAGACAAAATCCATTCACACTGACTAAAATTTGTACAGCATCATGATCATACCCCAAAAAAAATTATACGAACAGCAATAATTATGCAATATTATAAACTTTATTAATATAATTAAACTAAAAACTAAAACCCATAAAATACTGGCAACAATAAACCCTCTTTTACCAACCACCCAAAAAAATATAAAATTGAAAAAAAAAAAAAACCAAAAATCCATGAAAAAAATAAAGGAAACCCAGATCGGAAAAAACCTAGAATAAGTAAACATACATGTCGGCAGATTCTTGAACTTCTTCAGCAGCAGAGAAAAACGCATCCCTTTGCCATAAATCAAAAGAATTAGAGACCAACATTCTTAAAATTCAAAAAAATAGTTCAAATCAATTATAAATTGTTGAAATAGTCGAAATTAATCCGCCCAAAGTAAGAAATTAGGGGGAAAAATAAGTTTAAGGGGTAAAGATTCTGGAGAAATTATTATTGTTGTTGTTGGGGTAGGATGGATAAGGGTTTTGGGGATTTTGCTTTCTTCTTCTTTATTCCTCTTTTGATTGAAGAGAAAGAAGAAGAAACTGAAAGCAAAATAAAGAAAGAGGAGAGAGAAAGAAGGGTGGTTTTGCAGGCAATAAATCCAAGGAGGAGGAGGATGGTGGGAATCCTTTTTTGCTTTCTTTTTTATTATTGTGTTGTGTTTTTGGTAGAATTATTAAATAATTTTCCATGTTTTTTGTTAAGTAGGACAAGATGATGAAGGGAAAAGGTAAACTAATTCTATTAGGATTTTTTAATGAGAATTGAGAAATCTAATTTGTGGAAGAGAGCTAATGTTGGTATGTGGTTATTGGTCTTTCTTTTCTTTTTAATACAAATTATAATCTTACAATAAAGGTTAATTATGTCATCTCAAATCATATACTTGTACTAGACTCCGTATATAAAATAAAATAAAATTTTTAAAAAAAAATTGTATAGTTTATGTTATTGAAATAGAATATAAATTCATATATTGTCATATACTCCATATATATGTGTACACTGTACAGGTAAATGTAAATTGTGTCCTAAAAAAAAGGTGTATGTGTATTACATTAAATATCACATGCGGAATTAATCATATTAATAGCTTATTAATTAATGGTGAGTCGTTCGAACATTGAAAGTCAATTAGATGTGTCATTTATGATGACAAGATTGAGGAAAGAATACAATACTCACAATTTTCTTAAGAGAAATTAACATCAATGATCAACGATAGTATCAGATCGAGTAATACATAAAAGAGCTTGAAAGATAATCTATAGGGAATCACTGAGAAAGAATGACCTTGATGCACCTTATAGGCCTTGTTTGGCGATAAACTATTAGTTTTAAGGGGGTAGTTGTTAATTATGGAATAATTATATACTAGCTATAAAACACTAGTTGGTTGTATTTGCAAGTTAGACCAACCAATAGTATTAATCTTTGTTTGTGTATAAAATACTTGATAGATAATTGTCAATTCTTGTAATACATACAAACTATTTATTATATTTATATAAGTTAAATGATAGCAATTCAATATATAATTTTGCTTGGTGGAGTTGCCGGAAACTTACCTCGTGATTTTGAGGTCACAAGAGTATCGACCTGCAATTCAATATATAAGAACGTATGTTGTATATGATTAAAACTCATCAAATAAATTGAGAGCTAATTGTACATGGTTGTATATTTTCCTCGATTATTTACAAGAATCACTTTACCCAAAATCAGAAAATCCACCACTTTTTATTGACCTTAGGAAAAAAAATGACCATTAAAAAAAAACATAAGATTCATGAATAATAAATAAGAAAGTATGAAACAATAATTATAATCTATACTTAGTATTTAAAAATTATAACCAAGAAAGACACATGTCACTCATCCATTCTATTATACTTCTCTAACCACAGTACCACATGTCATCTTACACTATTAATTTTTTATTACACCATTTTTTTTTAATTCTTTCATTAAACTTATACTTTATCTTTCATACACACTTCATCTCTTCATCTATCCCCTTTAATTAAACCTCTTTCTATTCTCTCTTTAATTTTAGCCCTTCCACCTTCTATTAAGCCTCTTTTTCGATTAAAGTTCCAAAATTTAAATTTCTTTAATCATGTTTCCGATTACATATTATACCCTTGGCTTATTGATATTTCCTCACTTGTCTCTCAATACAATTTTATATGAATAATCCGTGCATTGCACGGGCCGAAACTCCGAAAGGCTAGTTTGAATAATTTATCGTCCTCTAGCCTATATGTTGACAATTGTATAAACGGAAAAAACAGAATTCGTTTGAAGCATAAGTGACTAGTCTTTGGAGACTTAATAGTGTTTACTTATTCCTCAGTACTCACAAATTACAGATCATAAGTTGTTATAGTATACTTCTTTATAAGTTTATTAGTTGTCTCTTCTAACGTTCCCCAATTGCAAGCTGGGATTATTATTATTTTTTCTTCAAAAATAATTATTAAAAGCACTTGTGACTTTATTTTTTTAACAATATGTTTCGCCGACATTTGTAAGCAATTTGGTCAACAACAATACATGCAAATTAAAGAAAATAACTAATTATATAAAGTTATAATTAAGGAGAAAAGTGGGGAAAATACTACTCTATATCACCAAGTTGTTATTCTCTTTATTTGAAATCAATAATCACTTGTTTCAAAAAAAAAAAAAAAAAGAAAAAACAATAATCATGTTGATAATGTAATGTAGACAATAAGTACTCCGTGAGTCCAAGAATATTTTAATTGATAACGTAATTAAGGTAAAATAAGGAAGGAAGGAAGGGAGAAAGAAAAAAAATAAAAGAAGGAAGCAGGGGTGGTTGGTTCATATTGTCGTTGGCCCGCCAACTAATACTGATTTTATCAAAGCTGGCAAATCCTGCACCGTAATATACTACGAACACGGAGTATTACTATTCCCCTCTCCTTTTCCTTTTTTTAGGGAGACTAAGCATATACCAAGTACGGAGAATTTCTCTAGGTACGTTAGTACATAGTATCTTTATACTAATGGGGGATATTATGAATACTAATCTAGAGTTTTTTCAGTGCCACAGAGGTTACTTGTATTCTGGGCTATATAATCAATGAAATATATAATTATTGCACGTACTCTATATATGAAGTATTAATTTTGACACTGCTGGCTTCTCCTTGCAAGTTGCAACTTACTTGCAAGTGTTTTTCATACAAGACTATTTTCACATAACATAAGACCATTTTCCACGTTGAAAATTATGTTAACATCATTTTTAAAGAGGAAAAGAAAATTCATTTTGATTATTATATGTTAGGACTTTAAAAGTTACAATAAGTTTAATTTAGTCTAAAACGTACAAATTAAAGTAATCGACAGAAACATTATAAATACCATAAAACAAGGCACTATACTATACAATTATTGGTAGCAACATACTTTGATTTTTCCTAAATTATACTTGTATAAAATTTTAACTAGATTTATAGATTCGTATGGTAGTGACTGGAGACAGTTTGGCATAATAATGACGTCCAAGTTGTATGAACATCATCAAATGGATACCTAACAAGTGTTGCCTGGCATAGTGCCTTGTCAACCTCATTCAAACAACCGTCGCAATACTTGGAACTTGATTATGGAGCTACCGTAACCGTTTTGATGTATTCTTATTACTTATATGTTTTTATATTGAATCATTTACTTAATTAGCCTTAAAATAATCTTACTGAATAGTTAGTTTTGTATTGATATTATTATATACCCGTTGTTATTATACTTCTATCATTAAGTACGATTAAATGAAGCTTGACTAACTTAGTAAGACTTTATATTTCAATTCGATCAAGAGGTCATCTAGGTTTCAAATATTGCCAGCTGAGGGTGTTTGGGGCCTTGGAGGTGAGGATTTCTTTATTACTCTTTTTCCGTACTTTTAAGTGTCTATATATCCTGTAAATATTACACTAAAAACGTTATATAGGTTAAAATCTAGTTGGGGCCTTTACTACCCCGGCCCCCAACTATCAAAATGTTTATCCCGCTAACCCAAACAGGATTGTGTGAGAAATTTTGAACTAATTTGTAGATAAGTCAAGAATTGATAAAAGGTTATAAATTTCTCCGGCCTCCAAAGATTTAGTAACCTCTGTCGGTAGTGACAAAATCAGTTGATTGATAACAACATTCTAACAGGCACAGTATTTATGTGCAAAAAGCAGACTATTAAGAGAACAGCAATAAATAAACATTTCCTTTCACCAAATTATAAATGTCTTAAATTTTCAACTCAAAGTGCATGATTGACCCCTTTGTGAATTGTGGCTGCGCTTCATAATAATAATAAGTCACTCAAAACAAATGAAAAAACTTCAAGTCAAATTTGACATCCACCATGCCACCTCACGTTTTATTGCATGTTTGCACGCCCTTTAGTTGATTAATACTCCGATTATGAGGGGATAAATTTTTTCTTTTACACGGTTGTACAATTGGTTTTAAGAAGGATCACTTTAGGTTTTTTTAGTCGGCTGTGTGTTTCTCTCTCCTATCTTAACTAGGATATTTTCTATATATGTAGTATAACTAATACGAACTACGTAGTATTTTCATATTTTCACAAAGTGACATGACTTTAATTTTGGGTATGAAGGTATGACTCCGATCGAAGTGTATATACAAAACCAAAAAATATTTTATATGATTGATGTTTATTAATGTGTTAAGAGTCCGTGTTCAGTGCCACAGTGATAAAATCTATATAAGTGATCACAGAGAACAAACGCAATGCATGCTTACCTATGTATGTTTGTTACTTTAACTAGCAGCCACCTATATTGTTTATCTTTTAATGATATGGTTTTCTTCTTTAGAAAGCACTACTGATGGTATTTAGATAGAGAGAGTCAGCAAGCATGATATAATATAATATTAATATAATTAGGTCCTATATTCCCTTCAACTCCTTTGGTGGGAAAATGTTCCATCAGCGATTAGTTGGAACGAACTTGGAATGGAAATCAGCAACTTTTATTTATTTTGGATATTTCTCACCTTACAATTAAATTATACACCTTTTTGCCACCAGAATAGGATCTTCATTGAGGCTCACAAGGACCAAACTCCTACTTCGTACTCAATCCGTCCCATAATATACTTCTTTATGGAGTATAAGGTATGTGCAAAATTCAAGATATAACTTAAGATATACAATGAATAAAGTTAAAAAAAAAGGTGAGAGTAAAATAATCTTTACATACTATCCAAAAATAGAAACGAGAACAATATTTTGGATCTCTAAAATAGGAAAACGGAAAATATATTATGGGATGGAAGGAGTATAATTTTATTTGAATTTTATAGAAATTTTATTGCTTTGAAAATATACATAATAAGTTGATAAATCAATAAATCATACAGAAAGAACATATAAGTAGTACTCCGCTATTATTTGAAGATTTTAACCAATAAGGTTGTATCTTGTCTAAAACATAGGAATGTGAATCTTTAGATATGATATTTAATACCTTTTGTTCTAAATCATCTTGGTTATGTACATTGTAGTGACTTTATTTGGTACATTACATGAGATCTTCATAGTAGGAGTTTGTCAGCCCATTGCTTAGTTGGTAGGCCGCAGACCTGTGTGTTATATTATACGGGCCTTCAGCCCTTCACCTGTTAAAATAAAAGTTTGGGCTTATTTGTACATTAAAATCATTGATGTTGGACCATTTTTGTAATTCTACGTGATTGAAATATGACTATATGGGCCTTGGTGATTTTCTACAGTCAGAAATTCACAATGACTACTAAAATTGTA